CATAACCTAATCAATGCGGGCCAAAATTCAAACTGCGGAATGATCTATGGCTGTATTTATGTTGTGCTACCCGTGCACTTTTCTGTTTCCATTCTCCGCCACTCTATCAAACTTTTTTTGCAAGATTTGGAAAATGTTTCACGGAGAGCTTTTAAATCAACCCCTCGCCCCGCCCGTCGCTTCCCCCCTCCATCTTCCATCACAGACCACTTTGCAGCCCTTTAATATTTCTAATTAGTTAATGGAGCTGATTGCATTCATAAAACCCCACAGTAAGCATTTCTAGCCCCCCCAAGTCATCTCTATTTTCCTCCTCCTCCTCTGTTTCCTGGAGAAATATCAGTGCGAGCACTCAAACAGGTCCTCAGCCCCCCTCCCCCACCCCCACGCTGTGGCAAAGAGCCATCCCCGCCGCTGCTTGTATAAAAAGATCCCCCTTCTTTTTATTTTTCTCTTTACTAATTGAAGTGAGGAGAAAAATCGTGCCACGGGGAGTTTTAATCTCCTCTCAGATGTGTGTGATAATTCTTCGCAGGGTTTTAGCCCCGGGGCTTCGTGCCAGCATCGTTAGAAAGTGTTCAACGGTCGTCCAGAGAAGGCCCGGGCCTTTTCTTTACGCCGTCTTCCTGGAAGTGATTTAATGTTTCGTCGAGACCCGGGGTGATTTTATTGGACAATAGCAACTGGAGATTAGCGCCTTGTTAGTCTGCCGTAAGATTTACAAAATCGCAGGAAAAAAAACTCTTTGGCGTCTCATTAAAAGCGAATTTAGTTGTAATAAGGGGAGGGTTAGATGACACCTAAATGTCAACGTTTTAAACTGAGATTAGCTTCTGTTGAGAAATTATAATAATAAAAATAATAATAATAATGAATTTAATTTGTACCGCACTTTTCACTAAAAATCTCAAAGTGCTACAAAAAAAAATAACTCTGTTAAAAGTAATTAAATCCAATGATAAAATCATGCAGAGGAATACACTTGATTAAAAACTCTTCAAGCCTTTTTTAAAGTCATCCAATGACTGCGGTGCTCTCAGGTAGTCAGGGAGGGTGTTCCAGAGGCGGGGGGCAGCAGCCACACAGAACGCCCGATGGTCCTTAATTTAGTCCGTGGAAGGTGGAGGAKGTTACWGTTCTGTGATCGGAGGGAGCAGATGGATGAATATGAGACAACAAGGCCCTTCAGATAATCTGGTGCCGTTCCGTATAAACACTGATGGGTGATGAGAGCAGTCTTGTATTGAAATCTGTAGGTGACAGGAAGCCAGTGGAGGTTATGGAGAATGGGTGTAATGTGTTCAGATTTACGAGCTCTCAATAAAAATCCTGGCAGCACTGTTTTGAACGTATTGAAGCATCTGAAGGTTTTTGCCAGGGATTCTGATAAACAGAGTTACAGTAGTCGAGTCTGGAGGAGACAAAGGCATGGGCGAGTTTCTCTGCATCAGCAAAAGTGAGAGATGGGCGAAGTTTGGAGATATTACGTAGATGGAAAAAAAACAGGTTTTAAACAGATGCTTGATGTGATTTTCAAATGTAAGATGAGAGTCCATTCTCACCCCAAGGTTAGTAAGAGGTGGAGAGGGGGATGTCTTGACCAGAGAAGGAAATAGCTGTTATAGTTGAAGTTTGAACCTGATGAGGGGTGCCGATCAGTATGGCCTCGGTTTTGGAGCAGTTCAATGGAAGAAAGTTCTGGCTCATCCATGCCCTTATCTCCTCCAGGCAGGAAGTGAGGGCAGTGAGTGAAGATGGAGATGACAGTGGTGATGATGGTGCTCCAGTCCTGATGTACAGCTGTGTACCATCAGTGAAAATAAATGTTGTGATGATTAATGATTTGACCTAAAGGAAGCATGTAAAGGGAAAACAGCAGGGGCCCAAGAACCGACCCTTGAGGGACCCCACAGGTAACACAGAGAGTCCAGGACTTGGCACTGCCAGGACAAACATATTCCAGCCTATTGGAGAGGAATGATTTAAACCAGTCCAGGACAGTGTCACAGAGACCGACCTCCACTTGAAGACGGTGGAGGAGGATACTGTGATCCACAGTGTCGAAAGCTGCGGTGAGGTCCACAAGGAGAAGAAGGGAAGGAGAACCAGTATCAGTTCAAATTACTGACAAAAATAAAAAAAATAAAAACCTCATATGTGATCTCATGTTGTGAGATGTCCTGAGACCAAGCGATCCATTTATCCACACTGTAAAACACATTTTGTTTTGTTTATATCTCAAACTCCTGATGTTTCTCAGAGAGGAACACCTGCAGCTTTAAAATAATGTCACACATGTGAGGGTGGGGGAGGTTTCTTTGCTGGAAGTTTCTTTTTCCCGCCTTTTCAAAACAATTGGCATCCCGGCAAGCTCTTTTTGTGGAAGAAAGAAATTTATATTTAAAGTCTGTTTTAATGTTATATTCACATTAATGTTCCAAAATTAACATCTAAGGAGTTTCCAGAACTAAGTTTATTACGTTTCACAAAGAAAAAGATGAATTCATTCATGTGTAGCTACTGTAGTGCATGACGGGACTTACATTTATTTTACTTTGTTTCTTGTAAACAGCTCTTTCACAAAAAAACAAAAAGTCTAATGCGCCTGACAAGACAAATAACTCTAATAAGGAACCAGACAAGAAGCAGGTCTAGATGTGGTTTTCTGTTCTCCGGTCTGGACCAGCATGTGTGGATCACAGGTTTTTGATTTTGAGCAAAAAACTAAGAGAAACATTCTGAACTGTGTTCCAGTAATATAATCTAACTTCAAGTTTTCAGAAATCCTAGAGATCAAAAAAATGACAAAACAGGGTAACGCTTTCTTTTATAATACCCTTTTTAGTATGTAATTACATGGTAATGAGATGGTAATAACTTGTAATTACATGTTATTACATGGTAATTACATGGTAGTTACCATGCAATTACATGGTAATAATGTGTAGTTACAAGTTGTTACCATCTTATTACCGTGTAATTACATGCTAAAAAGGGTACTGTAAAAGAAAGCGTTACCAAAGACTGAGGACAAATAAATAATGAGTTGCTCCTTGGTCCAAAGCCTCCAGGCAGTGAAAGTCAGAAAGTTCAAGCCACTAAACACTTGATATATTTTTTCTTGTAAAAAATAAATAAATAAATAAATAAAAATTAAATAAATAAATAAAAATAAAATGCTTTGTTTTCAAATATTTTAGATGACTTGTTGAATTTGGTTGTTTTAGTGGAGCTTTCTGTTTTGTTTTGTTTTTTTAGCACTTCAACAGAGTCCAGTTGCGCACCATAGTGCACATATTTAAAATAAAAATAAAAATAGGTAAAAATAAAATAAACTTCACTTTGTGGACTCATATGACCCCCACCACCGTCTTCACTTTGTTCTGAAATGTTTAAGTTCTCAAGAAATGTCTGCTTCTGTTTCTCTTCAGCATTGCTGTAAATTTATGATTCAGCTTTTAAAATAATTTTGATGTTTTTGAAAATTCAACCCACGGTGTTATTTATAGACTTTTTTCTGTTTTTTTCTTTATTTGATTCAATAATTTGCTAGTTTGTAATCTGTGGAAGGATTCTGATGATGCTGTAATAGGACATGAGCAAAGGATGAGTCAGCGTTATTTAGCTTTTAATGTTAGCTTTTAGCATTTTTCTCTCTTTTGAGCAGGAAAAAATATCTTTATTGCCATATTTATAGACAACGCAGTCTTCGAATGTGCTTCAAATGATCTGAAATTCATGCTTTGCACGAAGGCACTACGTTTGTGGTTTCCAACACATTCTAGGGAAAACTCTGATGGATTTCTGTATCGTGTTTTTTTTCTCCTGCGTCCACCTCCTCTCTGTTGTGAAGTGCATTGTGTGAACAGAAAATGTCCAGATGAAATAATTTGCAGCCTCTCCTGAACAGTTTGATTTTTATTTTATTTTCTGTGTACTTGTTTTAAAAAGCACTTTGAGTTCTTCGACTATTGATAGGACAGAAAACCAACAAAGATGTTAATGTAACACTCACCAATCAACTGAGTGTAAATATGAAGCAGAGTGGGATTTCTTTATTGTGTTGTTAAGTTTTTGTGTGTGAAACTGAAAGAATTACCTCCTGTTTCATTCTTAAGTTTTAATCTTTATTATTTACAGTTTTGAGAGAGTTTGAAGGCAGTTTATTGGAGGTATTCTGTGTTATAAAGATGCCTAAATTGTCTCGTGGATGAATGACCTTATCTAGCTGAGGAAATGAGACTCTGATCTTCTCTCTGCACAAACTAAATTAAGTTTTCACCTCTTATCTTCTGAATATCTATTACAGTTCCACATTATAAAGTGCTTTCRGTTCCCTTGCTCAATAAATGCTTATCAGCTGCCCAGATATTGCTCCTTTCTTTCTTCTTCTTCTTCTTTTTTCTGAGCACTATAATGTCAATTTCCCTGAATGGAACTGAAGGAGAACTGAGCCTCCAAACCTTTCAGAGCCTTGCACTCCGGCCTGCCTCAGAAATATGAAATGTGGTATTTTAGCTTGTTGAATTTCATGGTCTAAAAAGCAAATAGATTGTGATATATGCTGAGGTAATAAAAGTAATATTTTTCTACAAAATGGTTTTGTGCGTCCTTTTCTTTTTTTCCGTCCTCAGTTCAGCTTCCACTTATCTCCCTTTCTCTTCACTCTCACTCTGACTTTCTTTTCATTTAAAAGCAAATAAAACGAGCAGCGATGCTTATCACATAATGAAAGCTGCCAGCGTCRTGCAGGTCTGGCTGAAAAGTAGAAGAACGTTAGTTCTCCTTGATAGACCGAACGCAGCGGTTTTATAGGAGATCCTGTGTTTGATCTTCTTTAGAAAATTCGAACATGATCGCTCACGTTCGGAGCTGATTGTGCGTCGCGTGTTTTCCATCTGCAGCGTTTCAGACGTTATCTCAGCTTGATGTAGAGACCGGAGCGTGGATGGTGGAGATTAATGCAGCTCCTGCTTGTTTTCTTTCTTTCTCTGCAACAGATCGGAAAGCTACGGACCTCGGGAACGACCCTGATTTCAATCACAAGCAACACATCAATGGAGGTGAGGTCCTCTCCTCTCCTTTCAGCCTGAGGCGACACTGGCTGTTTCACCCCGAAGACGAGCAAAATCACAGACATGCCTGTGGCTCTGCCTTCAGACGGAACAGGGACAGACAGTCTGAGCTGTGTGTGTTTGTGTGTGTGTGTGTGTCAAACAGCATATAAAAGTTTGTTTCTACACATTTTTAACTTTAAAAAAGTAAGACTGCTCATTTCTGGGCACCTACATAAACTAGATACCACATCAGCAAAAACAGGAGTGTTAAAATTTCAGTGTTAAACTTTTGGGTGTTGATTTAACACCTCCTAGTGTTCTTTTAACACTTTCTGAGTACACTGACGCCCAGTGTTGGTGTTAATTCACAGTGTTGATTTCCTCAGTGTTGTCTCAACACTGGACAGTGTTAAATAAGCTCCGCCTGCATTTACTATAAGTCTTATATAACACTTAACAGTGTTGTTTTAAGACACCATGCAGTGTTGAAAGAAGTATCCTGAAAAGCCCCGCCCTCTTCCACCTCATGTCAGATAAACCAGTATTTTCCCAGCATTCCTAGATGAGAAATCTTGCAGAAATGATTTTTTTGCATGTTTATGACTAATTAAAGACGTTCATGAGAGTAAAAATTAGTTGTTCTGTTTAGTTTTCTTGTTCAGTTTGATCAAGCTGTTCAACTTTAAGTTTATGTTATTGGCCAAAAATCGACACCATTAGGGAGACGCACAGCCGGTAAAATAAGTATTGAACACGTCACCATTTTTCTCAGTAAATATATTACTAGAGGTGCTAATGACATGAAATTTTCACCAGATGTTG